CATTTCTGTCCTTTATCGAGCCCATCTTTGCATGAAATATTCCCTTGGTATCTCTAATTTTCTTGAAGAGATCTCTAGTCTTTCCCATTCTGTTGTTTTCCTCTATTTGTTTGCATTGATCACTGAGGAAGGCTTTCTTATCTCTCCTTGCTATTCTTTGGAACTCCACATTCAAATGGGAATATCTTTCCTTTCCTCCTTTGCTTTTTGCTTCTCTTCTTTTCATAGCTATTTGTAAGTCCTCCTCAGACAACCATTTTGCCTTTTTGCATTTCTTTTCCATGGGGATGGTCTTGATCCCTGTCTCCTGTACAATGTCATGAACATCCCACCTTTAGGCAGGTACAAAACACAGCTCAGAAGTGATGACATAGTTTTTTGAAGGACTTCATTCACCAGCCAAAAAAGGGGGGATGCGATGCTGAGGGGTAGGGTGGGATCTACCGGCAGGCTTTCTGCCTGGCGGTTGATTGGAACTAGCTCTTAAACACTGATAACTTTTTTCTTTAGAGACCACCTGTGTGGATTCTTAAATCCATGATGGTCATTTTGTTCATACCACAGTTGGGGCAGCCCTGAGACAGGAGAGCTTTCTTTTCGGATCACCATCTGAGATTCATGGCTAGCCGTTAGCATCCTCATCTTGAAGTGACAGTTATTTCTAAGGCCCTTCTTTCGTGCTCTGTGATTTTCGGACAATTCCATTCCTTAGAATTTCAAAGTTTCCTTCCATACCCCCCTGCTCTAAAATGGACTCGGGGGTCCCAGGCTCCAGTTCATACTTCCTCTGTGACCTTGTGTAACTTACCTGACCTCTCTGCACTGCCGTCCCCCACATATAAAATAAGGTTGATAATAGAACCCACCCCTGGAGTGTGGGTTAAGACAGTGACATATAAGATGCCTGACGGAGAGCAGATGCTTGTCAGACCAGCTCTGCCTCCGGTGGGCTTCCGATCACGGGTGTGACCATCCTTGGATGGTGATCACCCCCGCCTCCACCCCAGCTCTCCTCCTGTTCTAACCTGACTGTGATGTCATCTGCTGCAGTCTCAGCACTTGGGGTCCCAGTCTGGAGTCCCAGCACTTGACCTCCAGCCAGCAGTGTGCTGGAGCGGGCTTGTGAGGCCAGCTGTGCCCGTCATCCTCACTGACCACACGAGGGTAGCATGAAGTCAGCTGTGGTGGGAGGATGTTGACCATGGACACGGGCTGATGATGAAAACCAGACTCTTCTTCTTCCATGGGCCCTAGCTAAACACTTATCAGCTCTGCCTCCAGGTATATCTGTGGAGCCCCAGACGCATATGTCCTGCTGCATAAATGGCATGTCCAATAGCTGTTCCATGGACTCTTTGAACTCAGTATATGCAGTCCTAATTTATTTGTTTTCTCTGTCTGTAACTCCTTTGAGTCCCTTCTCAGAAAATGGCGCCTGGTGTCTCCTATAGAAATTGGGTCACCTATTCCTTCTCCCTTGCCTACCAGCCTTCCAGCCCTGAATCCTACTGATTCTCATCCTGTACATTTCTTCGTCTTCTCTCCCCTCCATCACCCCCATCATTGTTCACAACACCATCATCAGTTGCCAGGCTGACAATGTCAACTTTCAAGGTCTCCCTGCTTCCCTGCAGGACCACACTGGGATGCTGGTGGGATGCTTCCAGGACCACACAGTTCAGCATAGTGTCCTTGCTCACCACTCTCCTCCAGAGACCCCTCAAGTGTTCCTTAGAGGCAGATAACTTTTTACAAAGGATCACAGCTTGTAGAGAATTGCTTGTCTCAGTTCTTGGTGTCTTTCTACACATATTTCTTACCGTTTTTCTCCAGCAGGAGAAAGAAAGATTCCTATGGCTGTCAGCCATGGGTCCACATCCACACTCACCTGTGCGCATGCACGCGTGCATGCACACACACACACACACACACCCCTGCTTCACCTGGCCTGCTTCTGCTTTCCAGTGTCAGCTTAGCCTCAGCTTCCTTGTGGCAGCCTCTCCCGATCCCCTCCAAGTGGCAACAGAAATCTGGGACTTTGCCATTATGTCATGTTACAACCCACTGCAGACGTCTAGCCATGCATCTGTATTTCCCCAGGAGAGGCAAGCTTGAGGGGTCAGAGATGTCCTGTAGCCCCCAACCAGTACAGAGCCTGGCGTCTGGAAGGTGACCAACAAGTGTCTTTATTAATTGAATGTAGACACAAATGAATGAAGAGACAAAGATATCGGCAGATGAATCCACTCTCAGATATGCTCCCTTTGTTGGAAGTGTTTACCGGCTTGGACTGTAAATTACTCGAGGTCTATCTGCAAGGGACGATTCATCTCGATTTCTCCCATCACTGTTCTGCCCCTTTCTTCTCTGCCTCTTTCATGATGCATGATACAAACAACCACGCGCCATCACTCACAGTTGGGAGCATCCATGGGCGGATGAGGGTGTGTGAGACCGAGGGCTCTGCGGGGGCTGAGGCCGTTTCCACGTGTCAGAAGGTGCACCATCCGAGCCCACACACTAGCGCTGTGGACCGCAGCCCGGGTCCTCCTGTAGCCACATCACAGCCGAATCGGAAATCTATTTTTCTGGGTGTGCACAGCTGTCACCTCACATTTTAGGGAACGGCAGGGGGTTCACAAAGGAGGCAGGAAAGAAAGCCTAGTTAATTTAGAACTTAAGGGAGCAGGAGGCCTGGTGGGGTGGTGGCTTGGCCACCCTAGCCTCCTCCCCAGAGAAGGAGGTAATGGGAGAGTGAGTCCTCCTGAATGCTCAGCGGGGGTTCATCTCTGTTCTCTCATGTTCAGCTCCAGGGAAATTTAGACAGGTTTCATGTCAAAATAAGATTTCTGGAACAGCCAGAAAGAAACTTGCACCTGGACCCACAGCCCCAGCTGGGTCTCTCTGCCTCTTGCATCATCCCAGGTGATAAAGATCCTCGAATAAGGAGAGAGTTGATGATGTGGAAGATGAAAGGGAATCCATCTGGACTTTGCTCGAGCTGTCCTGGCCATGCAGGGATCTGGCTGGTCCGTGCTGGGCAGGCTGGGGTGGAGGTAAGGCTGTGTGGGGCGTCCCCACAAGAGAAGGCAGGTGACCACACCTGTTCTGCAGGAGGTCTTCTCCTTTTGACACAGCGCCCGGGAGGGGATTTCTCTCTGAATCACGTTCTCTAATTTTTTTTTTCCCCTTGATAATTAAATTACAGTAGCAAGTTGACACTGAAAATAGAGGGGGCGGCTTGAATATCTTAAAAATTAAGTTCATCCAGAAGCTTGCCAGGTGAAACTCAGCCTTTGTGCTTGGGCGAGTCACCGAGGGTCCCAACCTCACACTTGGCAGCCAAAGGTGCCTGGACACGTTGGGAAAGGTGCCCAGGTCTCTCCACCTGGGTCACCAAGATGAACTGAAGAGCAGAACTGTTCCCGAGTGAAATACCAAAGGAACCGGGGGACAGGGGGTTACACTAAGGGGACAGCTCGGTGATGCTGTTCTTTTGAGCCCCACTGGAGCCCACATGGGTGGGTCAGTGGCAGGCTGCCACGGTCGCTGTCAGGGGGCCCAGCCCCTGCTTGTGGGGTCATGTGGTTCTCTCTTGCCATGTCGCTAAATTGGTGATATGATGCACCTGCCTAGGAAAGTTGTCAGGAAGGTGGAGAATGCACCTGTCAGTGGGTTCCTGGTTCCTTCCAAGCTGGGCGCACGGGGGCAGTGGATGGATTTGTCTGCTCTGAGCACACAAGGCTGTTCCTCCTGGCCAGGCTCTCAGGGCCTGTCTGATGAACGATGGATAGGGTGGTCTTATTGCCGTGGCCCTGGACACTCCTGGAGCCCTGCAACACACCCTCCCAGGGACCGCGCCTTCCCGGAGCAGGAGTGGGGGCCTCTTCAGGTCCCCGTGTCACATGAGAATGTGGGCCTAATGGTGGTGATTAGTCAGTGTCCAGCCAGGGAGCAAATGGTCTCCCGCCCCCATGCCAGCGCAACACGCCAGCGAGGCATTCGATGAGGGGGTGGAAGGTCATTAGCCAGCAGGGCTGGTATTGATCCGGGAGCGAGGTCCTGGGATTTGGAGGCAAGTCACAGCCCCTTCTCATGCAGTTCGAGCAGTTACACCTTTTTGGAGGACTCTGTGCACCCAGGGAGCTCAGAGGACCGCTGCCCTGTGGAGGCGCCCAAAGAAAGCCCCTGAACCGAACCCTAGTCAGCCTCTGTAGCGTGAATGTCGCAGGCGCTACTGCTTCCAGAGTGTTTGGTCTCTTTGCTCTTCTACTTCTCCCTTCTTGGTTCATGTAGCTGTGTTCCCAGCAGACACCCTCCCCCTGTGCAGACAGAAGACAGTGTCCGTCAAGCAACCCACAAGGAACAGTGTGTTTTCTCTCAGGTGGCACGGTTGAGTTAGGAGGCATGTCACATGAGAATGTGGGCCTAATGGTGGTGATTAGTCAGTGTCCAGCCAGGGAGCAAATGGTCTCCCGCCCCCATGCCAGCGCAACACGCCAGCGAGGCATTCGATGAGGGGGTGGAAGGTCATTAGCCAGCAGGGCTGGTATTGATCCGGGAGCGAGGTCCTGGGATTTGGAGGCAAGTCACAGCCCCTTCTCATGCAATTCGAGCAGTTACACCTTTTTGGAGGACTCTGTGCACCCAGGGAGCTCAGAGGACCGCTGCCCTGTGGAGGGGCCCAAAGAAAGCCCCTGAACCGAACCCTAGTCAGCCTCTGTAGCGTGAATGTCACAGGCGCTACTGCTTCCAGAGTGTTTGGTCTCTTTGCTCTTCTACTTCTCCCTTCTTGGTTCATGTAGCTGTGTTCCCAGCAGACACCCTCCCCCTGTGCAGACAGAAGACAGTGTCCGTCAAGCAACCCACAAGGAACAGTGTGTTTTCTCTCAGGTGGCACGGTTGAGTTAGGAGGCGAGGGCACTCAGGAAGGAGCAGGTGAGGATGCTCAGAGACATTGGACAGGGCGTCCTTTTCCTTTGCCAGTCACTCTTCCTCATCTGCTTCTCAAATAGGTGATTTCAAGGCAGTTTAAGCACAAAGGGGACCGCAGGTGGTGGAGGGGTGGTTGGAGCCCAGGGAGACAGCCAGTGCAGGGGAAAGGGAAGGTCACACAGCGAGAGGCAGATCCAAACCCTAAGAACTCACCACTGTTTGTGAGTTGGTTCAGTAATAACAACATCATGTCATCACCTAAGGTTTGTTGATACAATGAACACTCCACCATGTGACAAAGTAAATCCCACGCCAGGCGCTTTGTATGCATTATCTGGTTTCATCCTCACAGCGGCCCTAGGAAGTAGGTGCTATTGTTCTTTTCCATCACACAGCTTTAAAAAACCACACACACGCATGAGTAAGTCACTGTGATGCAGAAAGTCTAAGTAACTTTCCCAAGGTCACCGGCTAACAGAGTCTTGGGGTTTAAACAAAAAAAAACTGGGATTTGAACTCAAACTCTCCCCAGTAGTTAATCCTTTCATCTAGCTTTTTTCTCCGGCTAACTTGCAGTATTTCTCAGCCTTTTATAGCCCAAACCCCCGCAAAGCTTTCTGATTCCTTCCCTGCTGATCTCTCCCAGGTAAGGAGCTATTCTGATTGGTTGTACCTCCTACTCTTTGTGTTGTGAAATCTGCAGGTGTGGTGTTTTACTGCCCAAGTCCTTCCCCAGAGTGGAATCCTGGCCTCCCTGCCCCTCCCCCATCCTTCGGATGTTTATCTGCATTTGCAAGACAGCATCTCCTGAGTTCCTCTACCTTCTGTGGGGAGGGGGCATCATGGCACTGATACTCAGGATGATCCTTTCCCCCCTCCCCAAGCAGGCGACCACCCACTTCGTGCACTGGGCTTTATTTCTGGTGGGGCAGGTCTGCACATCAACTCATGGGGTCTACCCAGGCGAGGGGATTCCACCCCTGAGTCTTTCCACACTCATTCCAAAGCCAGTTCTTCTCTCCATGCACACATACAGGTTACATGAGACATTCCTGCAGGGAAGTAGTCAGAAGTCAGTTTGGAAAGATGGGGAAGGTCTTCAGCTGATGGATGAAGAGTTTGCCAGAAGGCAGTGGGCAGTAGGAGCTGGTTGAAGAGGAGAACAGCAAGTCAGGGAGATGGGCTGAGGCCACAGACTACGGGGCAGGTTGGGTGAACTTTAGGGATGAGTTTAGGAAGAGCCAGAGTGGATCAGGGGATGTGGTGTGAGGAGAAGGTGACCAGCAACTCCCTCTGGGAGGAGAATTTCAGGAGCGGGGCGCTCAAATGGCACATGGAGAAAACACAGGAGACCCACACCTCTTAGCCACTTGACTTGAGCATGTCCATAA